AAGCTTCTGGATACAGATCCAAAATATTGGACTTCAGGGTCGGGGTTCTCCCAGATAGTAAAGGGAGAAGGAGATGAGAAGGTTGACAGCAGATGATAGAGGACATTTTAGTGATAGAGCATAAATCTGAGCTGAGTAAAGAAGGACATGAAGGCAGGAAAGAGGTAATGTAAAGTTAAACTTTTTAAATTGCATCTGTTAATTGAAAATCCAGGTGGGGCTGAAGATGTGGTGGGATGTGATGTTCTAAAAATATAAAAGGAACTAGTCAGGTTCATAAACTAAGACTTACAAAACAGAACCGTTATTGCTTAAAAAAAACAAGCATGAAGAGAAGACTATGGAAAGCAAAGCTTGTCAGGGGACTGAGAGGCAGGAACACAAGGATGCTGAAATAACCAAGAATAGTGGTAGGTAGTGGGGTGGAAAGGAGCTGTAGATCAAATGCTTACTTTCCATTAAATATAAGCTTGAGGCAGGAAGGACCATATCTATCTACAGCAAGAAGTAAAAGGCAGCATGAGCTCACGGCATATGCATTGCAAAAGAACTTAGGTTTTTAAAGAAAGCAAACATGATTGTTTGAAAAATGGCTACAAAAATTATGAACACCCTGAGCACATCTTGGCCCTGTAGGTTGTAGAAAGAAGAGAGAAAGAACAGGTCTCATTTGATATCAATCATGCAAAACCAAATCTTACAGTAAAAAAGGTGAAATGAATGTTCATATCCACTCCTTGAAATAATGACCTCATACATTTCTCCCACTTCCTCAGAAGTAAGAATCCTGCACAGCCTTCCGTGCTCTTGACAGATGCTTTCTCAAGGACCTTAATTCTCTGAGAAACAGACAATCACAAAAGCACTTCCTCGCGTTCTGGGTGGAGTAAGGCGGTGAAGGAAGGGAAAGGAGAAGACACACGGGACTTGGCTGGCGACAGCTTTGTTTCCCGCTGCGCCCAGGAAAGTCAGGGTGAGCGGAGTTTGGATGATGTGGTTCAGGGTCCACAGTTGTCTTTCCTGTGGTAACAGGAGGATGTGAAACAAGAAAGGATTTGTCTTGATGTTATCCTGGACGAAGGAGAACAATGCGTGCTAATATATCTTGGCATCTTAGGCCATTGTAGGAGAGACACAGGCAGTGTTTTGTTTGTGTCGCTAGGGGCACACAGTGAGGTCCTTGCCAGGAGCTTTGCGGGCCTTTGTTAAAATCCTCTGCTCTCAAGAGGGCTCAAGCAAATTCTGGGTAATAACTTTGGGAGAGTGGAAGAAAGGTTTGCTTTTAAGAATAACACTAGAAATTGTCTTTAAAAATATCATTAGTCATGAGAATCACCACGCCTACCTGATATCAAAACCATTTAAAAGCAGTTATGATTAAAATGAGGCATCCGTGGTACAAAAAGTTAACCGGGTCATTCGAACAGAACAGGAAGATTGAAATTTTACATGCTATAAAGGAAACAGAACAAAATAAGGTGGAAAGTAAGGATTATTTGATTTGCTATATTTAATTTGACGTGACAAAACCTTAAAACTTAGAAGAATAAACATTGATGCAAAAAATAGAACAAAATAACAAATTCCTACAAGTAGAATTAAATATATAAATTTATATAGAGAATCTCAGATTGATTATGTAATATATGTGAAAAAGACTAACTGTTAGGCTTGTAAACAACATAGAGGAAATAATAAAGAGGAAAAATCAGTTTGTTACATACAAGTTTTAAACAGCCATATGTCAGTCAGGTAAAAATCATGCTGCAAGACAAGTATTTTGACAAAATTTTCTTAAAATAAAAATATGCCATTTTGTGTATTTGTTTATATCTTGTCCCATTAATTATATCTTAATTCTAATTAAAAACCTAATTCATAAGTTAACCATCCAGAATAAAAAAAATTACCCAGATAAGTTTGAAACAGTAGATAAAACCTAGAAGAATGTAAACTCTGCTATTATCAAAGAAATTATAAAATAAAGCAGCTATATTTACTTCACATATTAAATTGTCAAGGTAGTAAATGATAGTTTGCCTCTGCCTTACTAGTATCCTTACTAGATTCAAAAATTTTTTTAAAAAAATAGTTTCATAATGTACTCTAAACAATAAAATTTACATCCTTTAGCTAGTTAGTCAGTTTCTGGAGCTTTATTCTTAAAACAATGTTTAAAATAATAAAAGTTCCTGTGAGAAGCTATTCTTTACTCCTTATTTATAATAATAAAAGCTTTAACCTCAAAATAAGTGAATTATAAGTGAAATAACATATAGTCATTAGCAATAAAACTTATGAAGAATTGGTGGCAGAGTGAAAAACACGTTAAAATACAAAGTGAAAAATGTATACTGCTTGCTGTGACTATAAGGCTATAAATGCACACAAATAACTAGCAAATATAGATCTTACTTGTTAAATAGAGTTGACAAAATTATGGATGATTTTCCTCTGTTTCCAGATTTTCTAGAATAATGTTAAATGGTTTTGAGAATACCGTCTATTTCCATAGAGATATTGGTCTGAACGGGTTTAAAACATTAAATTTCTTTTCTGAATAGTGCTCCTCAGTGTTTTTTTAATATTGTAGACAACTTTATCAGACATTGAGGATAAATGACGTGTCTACTATAGTAGAGAACTGGGATCCTGATGAAATAATTTCAAAGGCGCTATGTCTCCAGCTGCATCCACGCATCTTTCAAAGATTATTTGACTGTAACAAAGAGTAAAACTTCTTCTGATTAATAAGGAATTCTAAAATAGATATGTTTGAAACATTTACTTCCTCATGAAACCTAATTACCAGTAGGAAAGATAACAGTTCACTCTTGTACATGGATTATTTCAAAATGTCTTCCAGTGACTGACATTGTAAAGGATGTGTCATGTTTATTTCATGATGGATAGTCCCAAAATACCACTTTTCAACGTTATATTATCCTTTTATCAGCATTGAGAGGTTAGATGAGTGAAAGAATGCTGTTTCATAGCAGAGATTCTCATGTTCACTGTGCACTTGCATAAACCATAAGGATTCTCACTGAAATGTCCTACAGCCGGTTTTACGCAGATGGCAGAATGTAAATGCTTTGTTACAGACCCGTAAACACACACCATGGGTTCATGACAGAGAGTGATGTACAGCAATCTGCAAAATCAGTCCAAGTGTGCTCCTTAAGCAAGAGGCAGGGGAAAAAGCTGTGCAGAAGCACATTCTTACAATAGATGGTTCTGTGGGCATCTAGCTAGAACTTCCTATTTGGCATGGAAGCTGCAGTGTTTCCTTTCCTGGTTTGGATGAAGTTTATTATCAGTCTCTTTTTCTCAGTCTTCCTAGATTTAATACAGTGGTAGAGTGGGTGTAAAATTCAGAGAATATATATATAGACTCCACAGGATTATTCCATTTTTCATAGAAAATAAAGCTTAGAGGAACCCATGTATGAAGGTGCACTGGAAAATCTGAAAGCATCCGTTCCTGATTTCTTTACAGGGTTATGTCCTCTGCTGAAAGCTCTACACCAGCTCCGCCAACCTGGACTTACTAACAGAGCAGTGTTCAGGGAACACCCACTCAGTTCTGCGTCTCCTTTTTCCCTTCTCCTTAGGTGACTCAATTCTGCCTCCCACATCCTCCAAGTCAGGGAGATCAGCAGGGAGCTCCAATCATCAAGTGCTTAGTAAAGAGAAGCAAGCCAGAGGGATCCAGAAAAAAAACATAGTTGTGTTTGCTTATCAGTTAGTCTGTATGTGTGTAAATGCCTGTTTATCAGAACGCTATCAAATTCTTTCTGCAAACAGCATCACCTTGAAGACATTTAGGAATAAGTTTGTTAAAATAGCCCTTGTTGTTTTCTGCCATTCTAACTTGGAAAATTTGGCCATTTAGCTGCATTATTAAGACACTAGTCTTGAGATTTAGGTTGGAATCACTATAACTAATTCAGGCATGTCAGTTTCCCAGTGGAATCAGGATTCTCTGGCACCTCTTCACATTGGCCGCTAAGGGTTTTTTCAGATATTGCAGAATGAATTACTCTGTGAAGGCATGAATGAAATTCAGCTCAAGGGATGTCTCTCCTCCAACCCTGGAGAGGCAACTTGAGATCACCACAAGGTAGACATCTATACATGTCGCAAAATTGAATAAATAAGATTTAAAACACTAGCATTTAATAGAATAAAATATGAAAGAAAAAAATTTAAGTAAGAGTTAGATAATTAAGTTCTTGATCATTCACAACCTTTTTCTTTCCATTTCTGTAATGACTACACCATCCTCTGAGTTACAGGTGTCCCATATTGGGTACCCAGTACAGTAGCCTTACCTGTTCTAATCTCTCACTTCTTTTTTTCAGCCATTTAATCACTGTGTAAGCACTGAGTTACTCAGGACTCATAAATGTTTCCCTTCATGGTCATAAGCCCTTAAAGCCCTTCATGTCTGCTGCTACGACACCTAACCTTTGCTTCATCCCCGATGCAGAGTCATCTTCCAGAGCATATTCTCTAAAGCCCTCAGTCTCTGCGAACCCTGCATCTCAGGTGACATTCAGAGCCCACCGCGAGACGGTGCAGTCAGACACCTCAATGTCTTTCCCACCTCTTCCTTCCTGTATTTTCTTCTTCTTTGTTTTTTTTTGTTTGTTTGTTTGTTTGTTTTTTGTTTTTGCTTAACTGAAAGTACTGTCCAATTTCTGCGCTGCTCAAACTTGAATTGCTCCTCCGCCTTCTCTCTGCGTCTCTTCAGCATTAGTCATACTTCTAAAACCTTTTGCTAAGCCAACCATTCCAAACACTATGACCCACGGCACCACATTTCAGCATGCTTGCCCTTTCATACATATGTTCCTTCCACTTGAAAAAAGAAAGGATCTTGATTTTTTTGTAGAGAAAATGATGACCTCTCTCAACGTGGCTAGGCCAGTAGTTAAAACACCGTAGACACTCAAGTATTTGCTCATTGCCTGATCCTCTCTCCTTTTCCTTTTCAGTGGCACCGCCCCCCTACAGTCACGACCAGGAGATGCAGTGCTGCACGGACTTGCCTCCCCCCTACTCCCCGACTCCGCAGCGCTCCCCACCCCCTCCCTACCCTGGAAATGCACGGAAATAACCCTTCTCCCGGAACAGAATAAATGCCAATCAGTGATCCTGCCCAGAAGAAAATGCTTCTAGAAATGCAAAACAGGCTTTTTTTTTGACAAAATAGTCAAGTGGACTATTCATGTGAAAGGATGCAGGACTGCTACCCTGCTCAGAGCTAACCCCCTGTGGAGTGTTATGGAACTGCATTTTAAAATATCTCCTGATCCACCGAAGCACGTTCAGAAAAAAAGTAAGGAGAATGACAGACATCTGATAGTCATGAGAAGCACTCAGGGAAGGAAGTTTCAGGGTTGGTCCTAGACGAGAGAAGATTGAAGTCAAGTTGGGCAAGAGAATCATGGCCTGGTCTACGAAGAAACTTTATTCTATGCATTTTTGAAAGGCAGCAGAATTTTTCATTCTTTCGTTCGTCAATAAAAGTAAATTGAGTGCCCAAGAGCTTACTATGTGCCTGGAACCATTTGAGGCACTAGATGGAAATTAGCAGAAGGGAGCTTTGGTTTCGGAACAGGCATACCTCATTTCAATGCACTTTACTACAGTGTGCTGCAGATACTCTGTGCTTTATAAACTGAAGGGTTGTGGCAACCCTGCATCAAGCAGTGCCATTTTCCCCTCAGCTTGTGTTTAGGTCATCTCTCTATTTCACATTTTTCTAATTCTCACAATATTTCAAACTTTTTCACTAGTATTACATCCCCTAAGGTGATCTATCATCGATAACATTTGCTGTTACTATAGCTGTTTTGGAGTGCCACAAACCATGCCCATATGAAACAAGGACTTTAATAGACTGATAAATGTTGGTTGTGTTCTAACTGCTTCCCCAACCATTTGCCACCTCTTTCCCTCTCACTGAGCCTATCTATTACCTGAGCTACAACAATATTGAAATTAGACCAGTTAACCACGTGTTCAAGTAAAAGAAGGAGACACACATCTGTCACACAAGCTAGAAAAAATTAAGCCTAGTGAAGAAAGCATGGACAACACTGAGATGAGCTAAAAGGCCTTTTGAACCAAACAGCTGAGTTGTAAATACAAAAGAAAAGTTCTTTCTGGAAAGAAATAGATGGTACTCCAGTGAACATCTAAACTGTAAAAGAGAAAAGTAGCTTTACTGGTGATAGAGAGAAACTTTTAGTGGTCTGGGCGGAAGACCAAAGCAGCCACATTTTCTTAACCCAAAGCCTTACCCCGAGCAACACTCTAGCTTTCTTCAGTTCAATAAAGGCTGAGCAAGGATTAAAGGCTACAGGAAAAAAAGTGGAAAACTAACCGAGATCAGTTCGTGGGGTTTAAGGAAATAAGCCATTTTCATAGCATAAAAATGTAAGAGAAGCAGCAACTGCTGATGTAGGAGCTGCAGCAAATTACACAGGAGATCATAAAATGGTTACACAGAACAACAGATTTTTGGTGTAGATGAAACTGCTTTATATTGGAAGAAAATGCCCTCCAAGACTTCCACAGGGAGTCGATGTCTGGTTTCAAAGCTTCAAAGGAAAAACCGATTCTCTTGTTGAGGCTATTGCAGGTGGTGACTGAGTTGAAGTCAGTTCTCATTCATCATTCTCCAAATCCTGAAGTTCTAGGAATTATACTAATTGCATTTTCTGTGGCCTAACAGTGGAACAAGAAAGCCTGTTTACCAAGTGGTTTATTGATTAATTTAAACCCACTATTGAAACTTACCACTCAGGAGAAATTGTGCCTATCAAAACTTACTGCTCATTAACAATGCACATGGTTACCCAAGAGCTTTGATGGAGATGTACAACAAGATTAAAGTTGTTTTCCTACCTGCGAATACGAAAGCCTTTCTGTGCTTCATAGATCGAGGAGTAATTTCTACTTTTAGGTCTTATTTAATGAAGACCTTTCAAAAAGTTATAGCTGCCATAGAAAGTGATGCTTCTCATGGAGCAGGGCAAAGTAGACTGAAGACTTTCTGGAAAAGAGTCATCATTCCAGATGACATTAAGGTGGTTCATGATTTGTGGAAGGAGGGCAAAATATCACCATTCATAAGCCTGAGAGAAGTTGATGCCAGCCCTCATGGTGATTTTGACAGTTGAAGACTTCAGTAGAGAAAGTAACTGTAGATATGGCGTAAATAACAAGAGAACTAGAATTAGAAGTGGAGCCTGAAATGGGACTGCACTGCCGCAGGGTCACAAGAAGATATTTATTGGCCAGGAGCGGCTTCTTCCAGACAAGCAAAGTGGTTTCTTGGAGAGGAACCTACTTCTGGAGAAGATGCTGCAAATGTTGAAGTGACAATAAAGGATTTAGAATATTACAAAAATGGAGTTGATACATCAGCAGCAAGGTTTGAGAGAATTGACTCCAATTTTGAAAGATTTTTCCACGAGTACAATGCTATCAAACAGCACTATATGCTACAGAGAAATGTTTCATGTGAGAAAGTCTATCCATGCAGCAAATTCATTGCGGTCATATTTTAAGAGATTGCCACGGCCTCCACAACCCTCAGCAACCACCATCTTGATCAGTCAGCAGCCATCAACATTAAGTTCTTCCACCAGCAAAAGGACTATGACCCCTGAAAGACCCAGACTGTTGTGACACTTTCTAGCAATAAAGCATTTTTAATTAAGATATATACATTGGATTTTTTAGACATAACACTATTGTACACCCAAGAGAATAGTATAAATATAACTTTAAGATGCACTGAGAAACCAAAAAATTTGTACAACTCACTTTATTGTAATGTTTGCTTAACTGTGGTGGTCTGGAATTGAACTCATAATGCTTCCAATGTGTGCCTGGATTTAAAAAAAAGGAGCCGTTGGAGTGTCCTTATTGACTAGATTCCTTTGTGAAGCTCCCTATTACTAAGACTTCAAACAGAACCTTGGTATCTCATAAAGAAATGCTCTTGAAGATATATGTAAATTAAATGGTAGATGGGTCCATTGGGCCTCAGAAATTCTACTCAAATTTTTAGATAGGTGTACATTTCTGTGTCACTGAAAGTGAAAACAACAGTTGAATATTATTTATTTACTTTAAGAGTTAAATTAGGATCAAAGGGACTCAACAGTTGCTAGAAGTCCAGAGCTCTCACCGCCAGCTACTGCTGTGTACAAAGCATCTGGTGACAGCCAGTGGATTATCATGAAGGTTGTTCCAACTGTGCGGGGGAGATTGAGTGAAATTCTTCAGGCAACAAGTACTTCACTTCAAGAGTAGGAGAAGAGGCCAATTTTCCCATGGATTTTATATCAGATAGCAAACATCCCAGAACTTGATTGTGAAAATGTACAACAGATTTACAAAAAGAAAAGGGGAAAATAAAATAGATTTCATTCACATGTAACTGAGCCAAGCTTTTGTTCTGGTTTTGTAAAATTTTGATAGTCTGTTTCCTTAAAAAACGTTATACAGTTGATGGAAAAGTACAAGATTTCTCATCTTGCCTTTTACCAAATGCAAATCTTATGAAGTGCCTACCTTTAGATGTAAAAGCATTTAATAAATAATTCAAGTGTGCCATATTTTGCTTAAAGAGATCTTAACATACTTTTGCATATTTAAAAATTGTGTACTGGACATTGGATATAGATGATCAGGCCTTTTGTCACTGTACAATTAAATAGAAAATGTTTAACTTAATATCATCATAATTCAATGAAATCCCAAAAAATATAAGAATCTTGCTGAATAAAATAATCAAAAAGAATATCTCAAAGTATAAGTTATAACATCTGTACTTATAGTTAGGTAACTTAAGAGTGGATATAAGTATGTCCTTTAACTTTTAAATGCCCACACTAGAAATACATTGATCTGACTGAACATAGTTTAACTGTGAGTGAAGTCTAAAGGCTGTATTTATTTTGAATGATTCAATTGACTTGTAAGCATTAACAGCTTTCTTACTTATGAAGATGCAAAGTATTCAAAAGTTCCAGCCTGTTCTAGCAAAAGGTTCCCTGACTCACACGCAACATTTCGCACACTGTTAAGACTACACATGCTTTCATTTCTTTTCTGCAAGTGTGTTCTGATCCAGTTTCACTGCAACTAAAGAGCAGTCTCTATAATTTTGAGAACATTAGTTCCAAATATACTGTGTTCCTTTAAAAAATGGAGAAGAAAGACCATCAGAAAGCTGAACTGTCATCTTTTTCACCTTCAATAAGCATTTATTGTGAACATTTTATATTCTGTAAGTATTACCCACATAAGAGCAATTGCAGTCCATGCCATATCTCTTTGTTGAATTGTTTATGGCCCCTCTTAATGTATCCCACAAACGAATATACCTACAACAGATGAGTATTTTTACTATTTGTATTTAGTGTCACAAAAGCATAAATATGCACATTACATTGAAGTTCACCAATTATTTTCATAGATGCATTTTGGGGAAAGTAATATATGTGTGAAAACTTTGAATTGGGTTATTTATAAACTAACATATTTTCTATGGAAACACGTTTATAATAAGTAATAAAGTGAAAGAAAGCACTGCAACAAGGTGTGACTCTGAAGCTTGATTGTGTGAATTTGACTGGCTTGGGAGGGGATTGCAGACCATGCCTCTGGTTGTGTCTGGTTACGAAGGCATTACCTTGCATAGTATATCTGGTTCCTTGACCCTTCCTACATGGTGCTATTCTCCTGTTCTGCCTTACTGCATTTGCTTCACTAGACCCTTGGACCATGATGTGTTCCAGCCTTAGAATATGCCAACCATGGACTGAATTCCTGAAACCAGAAGCCAGATTATGCCTTGACTCGTAAAAGTTGTGGGTATTGGGTATTGCATCCCAGTAATGGGAAAGCTGACTAATAGACAAGGGTTATATTTTAATTGTCATGATTCTATTTTATTGCTGTTGTTTCCTACTTTCCATTCCTGTTGTTTAAGCCTCACTTTAGGTACAGCAAACATGAGTTGGAGATAGACAGACTTTATTTTGAGTCCCATGTTACGTCTATGCAATTTGAGGCAGTTTACTTCAGCTCTCTGAAATTTTTAACTTTCTGCTCTGAAAAATGTGAAATAAAATGATAACCCTTGCTAGGTTTGTCTGAACATTCGGTTAATATAGGAAAAATTTAAGTATATAATTCCTGGTATTTGAAAATATTCTATAATCATGAACAAAAATTAACTTTTAAAAATCAGTATAATGAAATGTCTCGAGAACCACCTTATCCAACACAGCAGTCACCAGCTACATATGATCACTTAACTATAAATTAATTGAAATTCAATTAAGTGAAAAATTATGTTTTTCAGTCTCACTAAGCCCTTTTCAAGTGATGCATGGCTTCATGTGGCTGGGGACCACCAGACCGAGTAGTGCTGGTGCAGAAGTTTTCAGTGCAAAACTGCAGTGAGGTGATGAGGTAGGACTGGGTGTAATTCAGTGGTAGACCATTTTCCCCACAAAACCCTTAGTACAAGGATAGAGGACAAGGGGAGGGAGAGAAAGAGGAAGAGGGGAGGGAGGGGAGCAGAAAATGGAGGAGGAAGGAGAGAGAAAGTAAAGAGAGGAAGGAAGGGGAGGAGGAGAGGGAAAAGAAGAGAGCAGAGGAGAGGAGAGAAAGGGGGAGGGGAGAGAAGGGAGGGAGGGGAGGAAAGGAGAGTAGATGGAAGAGGAGTGAGGGGGGAAGGGAAAGAAAGAGAAGGGGGGAAAATAAAATAAAACAAAGCAATAAGGAAATAGGAGTTGTTGAAGAAACCATTGCGATCACCTGCTTGAGGAGAGCCTGTGGACTTTGTCAGTTAATCACGCTGCCCTTCACTAACATGGTGATGAAGCCATTGCTAAGAAAGCAAGGCTGCGACCCAGGATGAAAAACAAACAAGAACCCAGGATGGAAAAGCTATTGCAGGAACTAACAGGCTAATGGTAGCAGACAATTTTGGATATTGGTTGAAGGTGCTCACCCAGAGTCTTGGTCAAATCAATTCTGCAGCTGCCTGTTCACCTGAGAAGCCGCCATGGGAACAGCTAAGGTCACCCTCATCTCTCTAAGGTGAAATGCAGCAATGTTCCCTTCTCTTTTTCATATTTGTCCTCATCACCAAATGAAAGCAGCACTCACCACACCCACTCTACTCCTAGCGCGTCCTTGTTTACCCAAACTCATTTAGCCAATTCATCATTACAGGTTGTGTATAATGTTTAGCATCCACCAGACAATACATGGAGCTTATCAAGGAGTGGTGCTCTGGGTGCTATTGTTTTATTTCATTTTCACTGTTTGTTGTTGTATTTTTCACTAGGACAAGCTAGTACCTGAATACCAAAGCCACTTGATCACCTTGCTAATCACCACAGAGGCTTCTACAGACTCCTACATCCTCAATCAGAACCTGCTTGGAGTATGCAATATTTATTTTCTGATCACAGGCTCAAGCTGAAAAGGATAGCCTGCGCTTGTGTAAGCCCCATACTTTTCCGGAGATGGGGTGTATCTATTTCAGCTCAAACTGTCAGGACCTCCAAAGAGAGTAAGTGACACAAGTAACTTTAAAAAGATCCACCTGCAACTCCAATTTCTACCTTCTCCATCCCCTCCCCCACCGCTGTGTCCCTCTAATGCAGAGAAAAGAACTGGGCTTCCTACTTGCAGACACTTTCTCTCTTTTCTCTGCTGTCTTCTAGCTCTGTGTTCTGAGCCAAATAACAGAATTTCCATAACATCAATTTTCTTCCAAACACATGAGAAATAACACCTTTACCGGGTTGTTGCAGTGATTATAAAACAATGTCTGTAAGGCATCTGTCACAAACATTCTCTCTACGTTGGTGATTCAGACAGATACAAGTGTATAAACACATCCTCTTTTTAAACCTGTGGCCCATCCCCAAGCCTTCCTGCTTCTATAATTTTCCTTGGCTGTGTAATACATTAAATCAAATCTTATAGCTGGAAACATTTATTATCTCAATTTCTGCAGAGCAGGGCTCTGAGCATGATCCATCCTCTGGTGCAGGGCCTGGCGCAGGCTACTCATCTCACTGTGCAGCTGTGGAAAGGCCTGCTTCCGGCTCCTTCCCATGTATACTGGCTGACAGTGCCTTGAAAGCTTTTGGATTAAAGACCTCATTTGCTCACTGGCTGCAGGCCAGAGACCACCTTCGGTTTCTTGCCATATGGCTTCTCCATAGGGAAACTTGAAATACAGCAACTGGCTTCCCCAGAGCAAGCAAGCAAGCACGCAAGAAGAGCCATGGTGAGAGAGAGCACTACTGAAAAACAGAGTACTAGCAAGATGTGAATCACAGACTTGAAACCTAATATTGTAAGTGATAGCCTATCACTTTTGCTATACCTTTTCCTAAAACTCAGGGAGATCTTACAAGGGCATGGAAACCAAGAGGCTGAGAGCTTTAGGGGCCAGGTAGATAGCACATGATAGCACAGACATTTATCTTATTCTCCTAAGTCCATTATTAGGAGTTTAGGCTATGAAGGAAATAATACCTTCCCTCTAACAAAATCCATCCCAGCTCAATGGCTGAAAGAATCCTATAACCACGTGTGGCTGTGATCATCTGCTTTTTTTGAACTGACAACAGAAGAATGGAGCTGGAAACATTCAAAGGCCACACTGACTAGATAAGTACTGTGCTCCTGAGGAATATTAAAAGGAGACACACAAGGTCTGTGTTTCTCATAAACTTCATTTACGAGCTTGTGCATATTGCTTGGCAGGAGAGGAAGTACTCCACCTACCAAATGCCTTCGTGGACAAGTTTTAACATAGTCCCAGCTCTAACCTGTGCTTCAGATTTTTTCCAAGATACTTAATCTGTGTCAAGAAAGGAATTCCAAGACAGGTCTCCAGATGGGCTTTCAGTAGAACAAGTTGCTACGTAACCCTGAATACCTTCACTGAAAATGGAGAAACAAATCCAAGGGAAAATTAAGGTACTGCAGACACACGTGTCAGCCGTGTTTGTCTTAGCTGAATGCATGAAGAAACAAATGGTTAAAAACCTGTTCATGAACTCTGGATTCTTCTTCCGCTCTGCTGCTCTTCTAATGCAGCGGTGAGTAGAGTCTGAGCACATGCCAATTCCCATTTCTAAGGGGGGGGGAGGCAGCAGCATCTTTCTCTGCATCTTGCTTGGCCTTGTGAGATAAATGAGTAAGCAGTCTAACATTGTTTTCCAACCTATAAGATGGATAATTTAATTTTTTTTCTGACTAAAACCACAGAGAACCAATTGGTCTGATTCCCCATTTTTGTATTTTATTGCCAGTTATTGTCTTGATGAGCACAGGGCATGGGCAGCTGCTTCCCTGCTGACTAGAAAGCGGTTTGAAAGTGGTTCAGAATGAGTAAGCACTTAGAGTTCAGCTCCCACCGTGCACGTGAAAATGCCTTTGGAGACTGAGCCCTCTGGGTCCTTCAATCCCTCTGGGCCCCTCACAATTCCTTTACCTGCTTGCTTGGGGGAGCCGCAGGTATGGAAACTACCTCACCTTCCCAGACTTAGCTAAAGACTTATACTCTGAGGAGCAGAGCTGAGCAATTTCTCTGGTCAGAATTAAATTTTTCCTACCTCTGCCTTTTATGAACCTATTTTTTTAGCCCTTATAGTAAGATTCGTATAAATGTCTGTCTCCCCTAAAGACTATATATGCTTTTGGAGATCAAGGACTGTCTTTTATACATTTTCCATCTCCAGGACATACTACATTTTTAGATCATGAAATAAATGGCTGCATATAATAAATCAAAAATAGTATTTGACATTTTAAAATGCAAAGAGTTAGAGGAAATAAGTTGATAGTGAGCAGCACCCTGTATGTGGGATTCAGAATCCAAGGTGCAGGGCAGAGAACTGAACATATGGCTAGAGTTTTATAGCTTTTAATTGATGGTACACATCGATCCAAATACTGATAGATTGTGCCATTAAGCACAATATTTATATATGTCCACTCATGTATATGCATATGCTCATCTTGATTGATTCATTTAATGAGAACCAAACAATTTACCAGTTTAGGAGAGGCACTTTTATAATTCTGCAAATTAAAATTGGGTTTCTCAGTTATCACATAGAAAGAATTGCCTCGTAAATCACATTTCTGTAAAATGGATTCTAAAGCAACATAGACTTCAGAAACAATGTCAAAGTGATTCACTAAAAGCATTTTTGCTAAAAGAAGGTGCCACAGTTTTTGTATTACCATTTCGTTATGGTAAACTGAGAAACAATGGAATATTCTAAAAGCAACAAAAACAATTAGAACTCGCTGGAAATGCAAAATAAATGGCAACTAGCTTTTTTGCCATTATTTTTAAATATATATGGAGATCAAGAGTGCGTTTATCCAAACTGTGAAAATCAATAACACATGGTAAAAAGATTGGTTCTCAGTGAAATATCCTTAAAACTGTGTCAGCTGAAATAATAACAGGGTGTGTGTGTGTGTGTGTGTGTGTGTGTGTGTGTGCGTGTGTATAAAGCACTTTTCTAAGGCAATTTATATTCACCTTA